TTTTACTTTTTCCAATTTAGAGTTGTTTTTGTAGTGAATGAACAAGATCTAGCCTTAAAAAGATTTGATCTTTACACTAGGAATTTCTTCCCATCTGCCTAACCCTTGGTGTCAGAGTTATCTGGTACCTATGTTCAGAAGCGGAGCCAGGAATTAAAATTTATGGGTTCGGGATTTTAGTCTTTTTAAGTTAGTGGGTTCTAAATTGTACAAATTCAATAAATTTCTTAAGACCGAACCCATAGCCGAAAGGCTAGCTCCCTTTGCCTATGTTGGTGCTTGTGGGAGGTAGCAGGTATCCGATGGAATAGTCGAGTTGCGCGCAAGCTGGCACGGACACTACCATTATAACTAAAACTGAATCTTTGGATTTTTTATGCAATATGAGATAACGTTTGAATCTTGCAGTTTGTAATACTACTACTTAAATTTGATGGGATCTATTCTGATTTATGGTACTTTCTTATGATGGCAGGTAAGGATACAATTGGGTCAGGGGTCAGCAGTTGATGTCACCAAGACCATGCTTAAAAATGAAGGCTTTGGTGCCTTTTACAAGGTTTGTTCCCCTGAAATTTATATTGGTTAAACAGTCCTTGATTGATAATGTTGCACCATTTACTTGTTGGTGTCTGACTGAATGATTCTTTATTTTATCTTAGATCACAAGAAACAAATAGGTATTTTAATTCCCCACTAATAATGAGTATACCCTGCTCTTTTAAACTTGGTGCTGAATTGGGCTGTAGTTCATATGTTATAGTATCCTCAAGAGAGGATAAATATTTCTAAACGTTTTACCTTGATTATGCCTTAACGAATTAGCTACTTTTTTGGAGCTTATGGTATTTTAGCATTACCTTTTACTACCTCATATGATCCTGAAAAGTTTAAATGCCTGAAAGGAACAATTTCTGAATTTTTTTGTCAATCAATAGTACACTTGGAAAATGTCAGCAAGAGAACTAGATGATGCTTTCCTCTAGAAATGAGCTGGTGAAAGTCTTTCTGTATTAATACCTATCTTTGGCGTAATGCGTAAGAGATACTCTGATTCCGTTCAAACTTTTAATTGGTGAATGCTACAAGTGTAACATATCATGGATTAGACAGGTGCCGAGTAACATAAATTGGATTATATAAGGTGACTCCCAAATGCATTAACTTATCTGTTGTATGATTATCAATTGAGATTTTTTAGATTTCCTGTGAGAGTTCTTAGGGAAAATAGATTATCATACCTAAAATCCAGATGGTTTTACTTGAAAGACAATTGATAAGCTTACAAATATCATAAGCTTTAGTGACTGTAGCTTCAAAGATTAGTTGGACTTCGTAATACTGGAACAATCTTGACTCTGAGATGGATGTCATACTATCAATGTAAAATCTAAGGTTGATGTTCTGCGTCAAGGTTGTCCAAAGTAATGTTGTTTATTGGACTTCCTTGAAAGCTGATGGCCTGATGCACTTGTTTTATTTAATGCATAATTTTCTCCAACTTTTTGTGTTGTATGGTTTTTTGTGATTCCATGCCATCAATTATTTTATCTTCATATGCAGGGTTTGTCAGCTGGGCTTCTCAGGCAGGCAACCTATACAACAGCCAGACTTGGGTCATTCAGGTGACTGTTTGTCTAAATTTTGTCTTTTCTCCATTCATAATCTGCCGGATTTATTTAAGTTTTCAAGTATTATTGATACTATTGATATACGTCAAGGTTCATAATACTTCACAGCCCTTAGGATTGCCTTCTATTGTTCTTTGATGCATCTAGGCTCATAGTTGTGACACATAATTGATCATACCCTCCCAATAGTTTGTCTTATACATTTCATACGAGTGCGTAATAAATTGGAGGTTTTCACAGGATTTACTCTGGACACCACCATTATTCTGCATAATACTTTTTGAGTCACACCTTCCTTCTCAGGTCTAATTATTTCATTTTGCTTTTTCGAATCAAAGATACAGTCTGAACGAATCATATTGAGGTGCTGTGCACATCTTATTGGAATTTCCGTCTAAAGAAGTTACTCTTTGGATATGTCAAGTGTCAACATAGGAATAAATTAATGAACAATGTGATCTTATTGATTTTCTGCAAGCCTTGCTTTTCAAATTTTTTGAAGATCTTGGGATTACGACGCTCCATGTTATCCCCTCCCCCTTCCCTCCACCTGGCTGCTATTTGTTTTGAAAGTTTTGCGGTTTGGTCTTATTTTGTAATTTTTTCGAGGTGGTTGTGCTTATTGGGTTTGCTCTGTTGTGCTTTTCTGATGATTCTTGTTGCAAGGTCTGTGATATCACTGTTGGACCTCCATAGAGATATAGGATTTTGCTAAAATTTTATGTGTTTATGGAAATATTGAGCTAACACACCTTTTGAAAGAATTGGTGTGATAAAACTCAGCAGGTAGAAGAATAAGTGACACGATGAATTTTAGATGATACAAAGGCTTAATAACCTACTTGGCCATGCATGTTTGGAGTGTCGATTGTAGCTACTTGCGTAATAAAATTAAGCTCAAATTTTTCTTTGGAGCAAAGAGGACCTAGCTAAAACCACTGTATTATTGGTGATATTGAGGATGATTTTATACAATAGCCCAACTTATTGCTGTTATGCTTTTTGCTTGATAGATTCTTGCCTATATTCATCCAATAAAAGAAAAAAGGACTTACTTTTCTGCTTTTCTTCGGGTTTTCTTGAAATAGAATTTTGACGAACAAGGCCATTGAGGCCAATGAAGGGAAGCCCTTGCCTCTGTACCAAAAGGCTTTATGTGGTCTTACTGCTGGAGCAATTGGTGCATGTGTTGGTAGTCCAGCAGATTTAGCCCTCATTCGTATGCAAGCTGATGCTACCTTGCCTTTAGCACAGAGACGCCATTACACAAATGCATTTCATGCACTCTCCCGTATTGTGGCTGATGAAGGAGTTCTAGCCCTCTGGAAAGGTGCTGGCCCCACAGTAGTAAGGGCAATGGCATTGAACATGGGAATGCTTGCCTCTTATGACCAGAGTGTGGAGTTTTGTAGGGACAACCTTGGCATGAGTGAGGCCGCTACAGTAGTAGGTAAGATAATTTCTGTACTAATGCTTCTAAGGGTCCTGATTTTAGTCTTAAGTACTTGAGTTTCTTCAATGTCTTCCCTCAAGAAGGGTTTAAGCTCAGATTGTAATTTCAAGAGGGGAACAAATGATGCAACTTGTCTTAGAAAAAGAATCAGTAAACTTTTCTTTAGGAAATTTCACCCATCTTTTGCATAGCCTGGTTAATCATTTAAGTTACTATCTGCTAGAGAATGCAGCATCTTTGGGCGGCCTGATTCCTTTCTTTGGTGCAGTTAGTGCTTTACGGGAAAAAACTGCTTGTTGGGAAATGCATATGTTAATCTCTACTTTGCTTACTGCCTTTCTACTTATGAAACTTAAATTCATTCAAGTTGTTTGGTAGATTGAGGGAATTTGGGACTCTGGTAAAGTTGGTCATTGTAGACTGTTAGATGGTGTAAGCTATGCCTTTGAGGTGTTGCCAATGAGTAGGGCAGTTCATTCTTCTGCTCTGACTCTAAAATGTTCTCTAGGAAGTCATTTCTGCTGTGGCATTCAATAACATGGAAATAGTGCTGTGCAAAGTTTGTCTGGGATATTGTGTGTTCAAGTACATTTTTTTCTCTCGCTCTTCACATTGACTGTCTTGAACGTTATTGTTATCATTGGATGATGTAAAATTTAATATCTCCCATGAGGCGCAGTGTTTCCCCTTCTTACAAATCCTTTCTCTTTCCTAAAACACAGGGGCCAGCAGTGTTTCTGGATTCTTTGCTGCTGCTTGCAGTTTACCATTTGATTACGTCAAGACTCAGATACAGAAAATGCAGCCAGATGCTGAAGGAAAGTTGCCTTACTCTGGTTCTTTCGATTGTGCCATGAAAACTTTGAAGGCAGGAGGACCCTTCAAATTTTACACTGGATTTCCAGTATATTGTGTTAGGATTGCTCCTCATGTTATGGTATGTTTCCCTCTTTTTCTTCCAACTAAAGTTCTTTCGATTCCATGTCAGCTTTTACCATATGTTTACTTCTTTGTTTTCCCTATGCAGATGACTTGGATTTTCCTTAACCAAATTCAGAAAGCGGAGAAGAAACTCGGATTGTGATTTGCTTCTAAAAGATACATCCGCTCAGTTGAGCTCTATTAGAATAACATCTTTGCATTGTTGTATTAGTACCTCTTTATCTATTTCTTTAATTTCACGCCTTCAAAGTGAATGGGTGCTTTAAGATTTTTTTGGTGATATATTGACTCGTGAAATTTAGGTTAGACATTTGGTCTTTTTTGATATTCCTACCAATTTAGTTTTGGGAGGACTGCTTTATCCAAATGGATGGGAATATTCTTTTAGCTGAATAAGCTATGTACTTCAAAAACTTTCTTGAAGTAGGTTTTATGGAGTTTTACACCAATTCCGGCTTGTCATTTTGAGCTTGATCTTTTTACCTATATTTGGCTATTCTTAAATGGTTAAGTTTCTGTTGTTAGTATCCTCCTGGAATGAGCTATTGAGTATTGGAGTGAAAATGGAGCAGAACATATAATAGAGATTCATGTAGTTCTTAACTAGTTTAAGATTGAGACATAGTTGTTGTCTATTGGTGTATATGCCAAGTATAGGTGTTTATGTCCCTATCTTGGGTCAAGTTGTTAAAACCTTTAACTTATTTATCCTTTGTTCTACGCGTTATCTATACAAAATCATGCCTCAAGAACCTGATAGCATGCATTTTTTATTGATCTGCTTGTTTGTATATAAATTTTGAATTCTCCGGGACCTTGTATTGAAGTTTTCCTAGTTTCCAGACTGTGGAGATAGGTTAGATAGCTTCTTTTGACATTGAAATTGCTAGGTTTGCATACTATTGTTTTCGATACAAAATCTGAAAAAAAATTATTTGCCAAACAAAACTGCATACAACTTCAATGATTGACAAGAGTCTTTAGTCCCATATCAAGGTTCAATGTTGCAAAAACTATCGAACTTGAGTGGAGGCGTAGAGTAGTTTGTTGAGAGTATTTTAGAGGCAACAGCTGCATTAGCTTCTTCTGTATAGTGAGCACCATCCCAGCTAATGTACTTGGATCTATCCTCACATATTGTGTAATTTCCTTGCCCACATTTGTTGTTTGATTCATAGTTGTATGGTGGCCCTCCATATCCACAACACGCCATCAATGGATTTACAAACCCTACCAAAACAGACCCAATCACTTCTTATAGTGATACACAAGCAAGACATCAGTAAATATTTATCCACACTTAGTATTTATACTATCAACAACCATCAAGTAAAATCCTACAAGTGGAGTCTGGGGAAGGTAGAGTGTAAGCGGACCTTATCTCCACCCCTTCGGTAGAGAGGCTATTTCCGAAAGACCCTTAGTTCAGGAAGAAGAATAAACAATAAACAATACACAATAGATCAGTGACAACAACAGAAGCCAGAAAAATAAAACAATATCAGCATCGTAAGAAACAGAAAATAAATATAAAAGCAATAACAATACCAAGTAATAGTGTCATAGAAAATAGTGTGGAAGCTACATAAACCACTAACAATCCAAGACGAAACATTATCAACCTAGCCCCGCCCTCGGAAACAACATAGAAAAACGCTCGACTCCCTTCTAACCTACAACACTTAGTGTTTTCACTAAACTAATCAATTTATCCTTTAAGATAGCGATACACATGCAAGAAATCGGTAAATATTTATCCACACTCAGTATTTACACTAAACTAAATAATTTAACCTTTAAGGTGAAAACGATGAACGCGTCATTATATTTTTGGCAAAATGAAAGAAAGAAACACTTACCATAATTAGAAGAGTTAGCAATAAGGTCATATTTGATGGAGTAGACATCAAGATATACAATGGTGATATTCTTCATTTCATCTCTTAGTTTTTCGCAGAGAAGGTATAATTTGTCATTGAATATTTTTGCACCTTCGTTTAGAGATATTAGGCATCCATGCTCATCATAATCATCCTTATACTTGTTATATGTTGCAAGTGATTTAGGCAAGCACCCTATTGGCCCTGTATTGTGTACCCAAAAATTCTTTCCACCTTCTTCATAAATTTCCTGCAATTCAATATAGAAATTCAAAAATATCCAAGAAAAAAGAGCAAAAGTATACAAGTTTAGAAAGGAGCAAAAAACTATATAAAGAAGAGACATAAAAAGGAAGATGACTATAAGTATGGTTACCTTTATTGCAGTTTCAATTTCAAAAATGAAATCAGGAATTTTCAGGATAGCTTTTTCATATGAGAGAGCGCCAAATACTCCATCCAAATCATTTTGTCCAATATCAATGGTGTAGAGGGCATTCCTTAGATCTTCATCTCCTAGCAAATTTCCATTACCTAAAATATACAAATAATATTAGTCTTTAAGAATTGAGTAATAGTTAAGCGATAAGAATTATTATCTTGCCTTCGGGCCTTTGATCTAGTGGTAAAAGCGTATGATGTGTAGATTAGACATATGTTATTAGTTCAAAACTATTCGTAAACGAAAGATTGATATTTAAATGGAAAGGGATATTATCTACTAAGTTTCAAACCATACGCCAGTAAACCTTGAGATTTTTAGATTTTCTGGTTATAAAAAAAAATTGTCTTTGCATCGTGATTTCACTTTTTAATTCCTTTTTTTTCTTTCGACTCGAAAATATCAATATTTTTTTAATAGGAGTGGTTGACTTTTAGTATGGTTATCATTTCATATATACCTTTGTCAAATAACTCAAGAGAAAGAGATCGAAACCGATGGAACTGGGCAATTTGGATCTTCAAATTAAAAGAATCTGAGGCTGGAAGAGTTTTAGAACCAGCAATAGCAAAATTAACTCCGTTTGTAAAGTTTTTGCCCATTGACTCCATAAATGGAGTTAAATAACCATTTTTCACACTTTCGCCTGCAGTGGAAATTAAATAAGTAAATAAATAAATGAACATGAGCCCCGAAAATGGATGAGTTAATCATATTTGTTCTTGCTTATCTTCCTTAACAAAAAAAATGAAACACTAGTAACATAATTATTGAAGTTCTCAAATACTTTGGTATAGAAAGGAATGTCATCGACAACCCCTCGTTAAAATCTTTTCAACATATATGTAAAACGGATTTTTAAGTAAAAACATATGTATATACGTTTAGAATACGAAGTGAAGCCTTAAAAAGCCACTAAAGAGGCAAAGTCAAGCTCGCTTTATAACACGAATTGTGATAATAAGATGCCATTGCTTACGTAAAATTCTGTGTTTGCCATTGTGGTGTAACCAACTTACATAGAAAATCAATTACTAATCTGCCATCACACATTCGACCAGCTAAATCATGACTAATGGTGTGCTTTTTTGGAAGCTGTCCGATCATTCCACGTACTATAACATAGCCACCAGTATCAGAATTGGAGTCGCCAAAATTGACAATTACTAGACTTCCATTGCATTGCGAATCAACAGATAGAGGAAAGAAAAAACCAACAACTAGGGAAATTATAAAAGATAGAAGATAAAATATTCTCTCCTTCAGATCCATCATTTTGCTTCTTCATCTTTGATCAAACATCTTTTGTTGCAAATTTACTTACAATTTGGTAAGTGATAATTTAGGAATTATAAATGAATAATAATCAGAAATTAAATATTTTTGAAGGAAAGGAAAGGTAGTTTGATAAAACGAAATTTTATTTTTCTTCTTCAATTGAGCTATCTTTTAGTTAGGATAAAAAAGAAGCCATCTTTTAGGAAAAAAAATATAGAACTAGCATTCACGAGATTGATTTCTCTTAATATTGAAAAAATGAAGATCTATTTTGACCCCTTTCACAAAACATAAGAAGAATGTTATGACCAGTTATAACATCAAAGACAAGGATTAAATGATACTTATTAGATAAACAAAAAAGATTTATGTATACGTAGGGGTCGGTCTGAATTTTGTAACTGATATATAACACAGAAACCAATAGATTAGAGTATAATTTACCGGAGACGACATTAATTAGCTTGTTAAATTTTTGTTGAACCAAAAGAAAACGGAAGATAACCGCACTATAATACCGTTAGAAAATACCAACAATTTTCATGTCATTTATTCATGAAATTAAACATCAACAATGAATGAAGGAACTGAAAAGAGAACAAACAATTAAAACTGAAAATATAATCAATGCAAAATAACTCCAAAGCCCCAAAAAGATTTACAATCAAAACAAAAGAAAAGAACAGAAAGATAAGAATTCATTATCCTTCAATAAAACACACACCAAATTCTAAAAAGCTTCTATAGGACTACTCGAACCTCAAGTACTACATAACTTATAAGGCAGACATTGCCCAATACCATATAAGGTGACAGTCAGTCCGCATCCCTACGGATGTGAGAACTCTGAGTAGTGGACTTACCAGAGAGGGAGCAAGAATAAAAGTCATTTTATAACAAGGTGGGAAATCGAACCCTCACCAACAAGGTGAAAGTTCGAGTAGCTAACCAACTAAGACTACCCTAACAATTGTTTTTCACTAAACTTATGTATAATAACTTACAAATGCAACCGCTATTTCTCAAGATATGAACTAAACCAAAGTCGAATATCTCAAGGATTGAAGATATTAAAAGAATCCACCTCTCCCTTCATCTTTTTCAACAGAAAATAAAAATCAGCATTATAAAACAAGGGGCAGTTGGAATTGCTAAGGGGGAATCACATGATTTAAAGACTTGACAACAATCCTAATGGGATATACATACTCAAGTATTAACTTGAGGCAACAGAATATATAATATCCAGGAGACAAGAAGCATCATAGTGATATTACAACAAAGAGAAACATTTACCTTCACAAAATGCATTAGTCCACCTTTAGAAAAACATGTTTGAACTATTTAAGATGTCTGACACCCCACAGAAATAAAACATAATCCATGCAGCTTCCGAACAAGCTGATGAATTATCGAATTACAAAATGACTTAATGTCGTCAGTTGAGGAGCGTAACAACTGCTCGGGAGGAAGCCCTAGGCAGACTTAGTAATATTTGAGCAACTTTTAGCAAGTAGTCTGGTGAATTTGCATCTACCCTTTTTGCTATGATTACTACATTCTCTAGTACCTTCCCGTTCTTCAAAATGAACTCCAGAAATGGAAACACGGAGGTTTTTGCCACAAACTGGGTAATCTTGACTGTCTTCAAATGGTGCAGCAAACATTTAACGTGCTTCACTTGTGACGCTAAGTAGTTTGCGCCATTAGAATTGTAGAAATTTTTTGAATCTGCTAGCTCCACGCCTTTTGGCTAGAAAAAATTTCCAAGATAAGGTTTGCTTACATTTAGATAGAACCAGAAATGAATAATACAAATGATCTCCAGAAGCCAGTACAGGATCAGATATAACGGATTATTTTTGTTTATGTTTTTATTTTCTTTTGATAAGGAGGATCAGATCAATGGATGTATGTCAATGAAAGCATTTTCTACTTCTCTGGCAATGTAATGAATGCGGTATTTAGTTTATTAACTGAAGCTAAATTTCCATAACCAGTTCATCACGAAGATACTGTTGGAAATAGTAAACTTAAATGTTAACAGTATGAACAAGTGGCTAGGTTTATTTGTATTTTGAGTTTTTCTAGGGGTTTAAGTCTAATATATATGTTTTGAAAGTTATAATTGAAGTGTGTGTCCTTTGAGTTGAGTTATTCTAGATGGTTCGTGTAACTAGAAGTATAAAGTAGCTATACATATGTGAGTCTAGTGTGTTTTATTTAAATGTAAAATGGAACTTCTCTTAATGTTATTAGAGTGCTTATCTCCTTATTCCATTCTCTTTGAACCTTATAAAATTTTATCCTTTGAATTGTATTATTCTCTTCTTCCATTCACAACAAAGTGGCAGCAAGAGCGCAGTTTAAAATCCAGAATGCTTCTTGGAGTGATGAATCAGGTTTTAAGGGAGTGTTTGATGAATAAACTAGATTCATCCCAAGCATATGAATTTTCTTAGTTCATGTATTACGATATTAATGTAAGAATGCATGTATGATTTGCTTATGTATTTGGGAGAAAGAGGAAATATAGAATTAAACTATGAACATGTTAGAAGAATACCTATAAAAACCTACATACTAAATTTTTTTGGTGTCTTAAGTCGAGAGAAGAAATAGCACTATGCTTTCCTCCACTTGTCTTCAAGAGAATTAGTTTGACTGGAAGTGCTCTTTCTCCACAAATTTCTAGCAAATACTCTGGGCAGAATATGTCAGATAAGAAATAGAGAACAATAAAGTTTAGCAAACACATACCTGTTCATAGGGTACATATTGCATGTCTATTATTAGCATCTGCAGAGCTGGTGAACCTTTTAGCAGGTTAACTGTTCCAAAAAGATCATCTTCCTTCATATGTATACTTAATGTGACACATTTGTGAGTTGAAACTTGAGAAGGAATGCGTTTCTTCTCCCTTAGCGCTAGAACCTTGTATCGTCAAATTCACAGAATCCAGAGGGAAAAAGTAGATATTTCAGTACCCACTAGGACAAGCATGCCCGATCAGAATTTCATGAAAAACAAATTGTATAATGTGTAGTTATGGGGAAGTTGTAATATAAAAACACACTGCCAAGCCGTTAATTTCTTAAACCTAGTCATATACTAGATCATAATAAAACATGATAAACTTAAGATAAAGATGAAAGGAGGTGAGCAATGTGCTGAATCATACTTACTTTGAAATGATTTTTACTTCCTCTAAGATGTCTCCCTTTTTAGGCATTCAATTACTGTGCTGATAAATTTGGTCTCATTTTAGATAACTGGAGAATTTTTGCCATTGGAGAGCTTAAGGGATTTGTTCTCAATAGATTCTGATCTAAGTTAACCTAGGAACTAGTTATTTTTTAGTTAGATTTTGCTTACAAATATTATGCGGTTGAAGAATTCAGGTGAGCCAGTGACAGTTCAGTTTCCTTGTGAGCTTCGGGAATTGTACTTACAGTTGCATTTGGAAGCTTAGAATAATACTTGTCTCTTGAAGTTATTAGCTTTTAGAAAGTAACCTAATGCTAAAAAATCGGAGGATTCTACGGGAAGGTTTCTCTAACGTGCTTGTTTGAGCATCAAGATTCAACCAATGTGCTTTGTGTAAATAGAGTCATGCCTAGAAAGCAAAATTAATCAGAGAAGAGAGAACTAAAGCTAGCAATTGTAACAATTACTTTACTCTGCTCCAAAGGGTAAGAGACCCAATATCTACCTCATAAAGACACAACCAAGAAAAAAAAAAGACTCTTAAAGGTAGGCAAAAAGAAAGACCAGATACAGATAACTTGTTTCGAAAACTAACCTCAACGCACCAAGCACCCAAAGTTAAGTTCTCAACATGTTTAAGGCTCCTAACTAGCTCCATTAGGTTGTCCTGCTGCCCTTTTAAGTTCTTCTTTTCACCTCTGAAACCAGTGTGCGGATGAATACTGAGGGTGGCATTAACAACGGACTGCACATTCATCAAAATACACTTCCTATAAAGAAATCCTGATAGGCGCAGGGTCTGAACATTGGGCGCTGAAATTGTCATGATGGGACCATGTTCAAACTCAACTGATTCCCATTCACATACAATCAGTGTTCTTAAAGAAGGAGAATCAATATTCAGATCATCATAGCCCCAGCATGAATCCAACTCAAGGAATTCCAGTTTTGGAGCACCCACCATAATCTTATGAACATCTTGATTCCCCAACACCGAGAACCGGAGGGTTAACTTTGTCAACAAGTTCCAAGTTATTTGCACATCATGTATAAACTTGCAGCTCCACAAACTCAATGTCTTGAATGAAGAATTGCGATACACACACTGAGGTGGGAACCAATAGCAACAGTCTTGATTAAATTCTAAGAAGAGCTCTTCTACATTATTCTTTGCAGCATACAGAATCCATCCATCATAATCTTTACGATAACTAGCATTTAAAAAGAGACCAATTTTAAGTCTTCTGATCTTAGAAGTGCCACGAGAAAGCAAGGTCCGATTCACAAAGTCCACATAATTCTGATAGGGATAGAAATCATCATAACTAAAATCAAGATTTGGGACAGTTGACCACAGGTGTCGCCAGCGTTTGGAGAGAATGGCTGTTCTGACAACATCTCTCATGTTCACGAATGAGAGGATGTGAACCAGTATCAGTTCAGGCAGCTCACTAAGTCGATCCATAGGGGAAAGGAATCAACTTTGGGGACAAGCTCAGTGATTTGGCAATAATCCAGAACTCAGTTCCTGTTCGCTGCATATAGTTATCTCAATTGCTTCAGGAATAGGGTCAAAGGGTGACTTTATTCACTGAAGGATGAGATTTTTTCCTAGGATTAATAAAAGGAGAAAGTCATTAATCTTTATCAACGACCAAAAAAGGAAAATCAATGGTGATTACTGCATACAAGTAAGAGATAAATCCCATCATATTCAGCTAGAATCAAACAAATTTCAAGCTATGAACATAATCTTTTTTTTTTTGAAATGGTAAATTAGCTTTGAACACAATCTTAATACACCAAAACTCAATGATATCAACTACAGTATAAATTAGCAACATTCAAGAATCTGCAACTCCAAAAAGACAATAGGAATGAATCGATATAAGCTAGCTGGCCTCTTTCTCAGGGCTTGGAATTCTTGAAAAAGTATATGAAAACCAAATCTAAAGCAGTGGAAATTTAAAAACAAGTTTGATGTTGGAATCTTAAAGGCATGCTAGAAAAATCACTAATTCACTGTGCAATGATCTAAGCTCCTTTACATGAACAGAAAATCCAAATAAAAATAAAACAAAAAATTCAATATCAGAAGAAATACCATATAGCTACTGTAGTTATCAGAAGAATGACAAAACCAGGAAAGGGAAAAGAATCATTTACCTGAAGCTGTCGGTAGAGTGGAGCAACAAGTGGAAGTACAAAATAATGTTTTTTGTCATTTATTTCTCGTTTTTTTCCCAAGCGCGGAGAATTTATATCTTTATTATATTAAAAGCAAATATCCATAACAACGAAATATAGTTGACTTTTTTATCTTTTAAAAATAAAATTTACACTAGAGATAATAGTTATTTAATAATATTTTACCTAATATTTAGGACATTGAAAATAAAAATAACTAAAATTGTAATTACTCAATTTTACATATTTGAAATATATAGGAAATCCTAAGATTATGTAATATTTGAAAACATAATTAAAGAACCCCGTATGGTACACTTAATGTAGGCGCCTATTTGAGTTCCAACCATATAATTAACACATAATTAGCATAAAAATACTAAAACTTTAGGATTATAAAATTTAAAGGCTAAGTACAATGTTGAAATAAATATTAAGAGTTCAAACACAGGCTGTGATTAATACAAAAGCTTATAAATTAAAGTACCGTGATATACCCTTGCTACGACGTTCTAACAATAAACAAATTATTTTAAAAAATATCATCTTAGGAAGAAACTGTCATCTAGCCTCTTAAAAAAAACAATAATAATACCCTTTAGTCCCAAACAAAATTGTGGTCAGTTATATAAATCATCATATTTTTCTTTAAACTCAGCTCATATTATTATCGTACCAAAATAAATAAGAATAGTAATAGTAGTAAACATAAGTGTATAATAATAATAATAATAATAATAATAATAATAAAATAGTAGTAAAAGTATTTTTTTTATTCAAAAAGTAAACACAAAAATATTTTTTAATAGAGTAATTCAATCTTTTTTTTCTCGAACAACAGTAGTTTCATTATTGATATTTTTTATGAGCCAACCAAGTTGCAAATTAAATAAATTAGAAAACGGTCTTAGAGGAATAAATCACAATTATATAACACGACTTAGGAGTGTGTGCTTTCGCTAAGCTTTTTAATAAACTAGTCTTACGATACGCGCGTTGCGCGTGTATCCCGTCTCAATAAATATATATTTCTAAAAAATTACATAAATATTATATTAACTAATTACACTTGAGTTATAAAATAAATTTAAAAAAAAAATGTGAGTTTCTAAAAATGATAATTGTTTGATTTGCACGTATATAAATATGAACTATATTTGCTCAAGTACCTAATATGAACTTCATCTTATTCTTGTTGGAACTCAAATTGAAAATACCAAAAATAAAAAGAGAGTTCATATATTAAGTTTAGTTATCATGCGAAGAATTTAATTGGATGGTAATATTCAAATCTAACTAAATTTATTTTTAGATTGAAATAAAATAATTGTCATAAAAAGGTAGAAAATTAATAAAAGGACAGTCAGTGCACTAAACTCCCGTTATACGTGGAATCCAATAAAGGACATGATCACAAGGGTCTATCGTACGCAAACTTAAGGTAGAAAATTAATGCTTATTATTAATTTATTATAAGAATAATTTTTCGTAAACCCTTAGAGTTAATAAAAAGAAATAGTAAAAACAAAATGTATCCTAATTATACTGATTAATTTTTATCTTCCGATAAAGGCCTCACACATTCGAATTTAACTACAACTGAAAGTTTTAGATCTTCCATTCCAATGCAAATTCAGTGTTGTATTACTTATTATTATGAACTATTTATATTTTTGAGCTGGAAATAAAATTCTTTTTTAACTAAGTAAAATGATAAAAAGTTTCAAAAAAAGTAAAAGTGGTAAATTATGAATTTAGATTCCCAAATATTGGCAATATCTGTTGTGATTTTAAGCTTGTGTAGCTTAAAGAGGGTGAATGAGAAATGGAGGGAAAAATGAAATATTTGAGTTTCCCTCTTTGGCAAAGAGACATTGTCCCATATTGGAGGAAGAAAAAGCTTTTGATGGATATATATATAAAATTGCTCTTCTTCCAGCTCTCAAAGAGTTAAGAAGAAGGCAAGCCTCGCGACGTCGTCGCTCGCTCGGGTTCGGATTCAGTCAAAGATTGATTGATTAATCTTTTTAGACAAAATTCCTTTCAATTATTTAATTAATTAATTAATTAACGAAAAATTCAATCCGCTTCAACCCTGTTCCAACAGCTTCGACTTCGGTTGGATTTGGATTTGGTCAAAGATCGATTGATTGATTAATCTTTTTGGACAAAATTTCTTTCAATTATTTAATTAATTAAATAAATAAATAACGAAAAATTCAATCCGGAATAACCCATGACCCGCGACCCGGTCCGGTGAGGCCCGTTTTCTTTTCCGGATTATTTTAAATCCATTTTCCCGTAATATTTCAAATAACCCTGTTCCAACAGCCATGGCTGTTTCTGAAAGGTTGCAAACCTTTTCATAAACAATGCCAGCAACTCTATAAATAGAGTTTGAATCCCAGAATCTTTCCTTACGAAATTTTCTGAGCTTCTTCTTCTTCTTCTTCTGCACAAAAAATTCAGTATATTTTACAGCCTTCGAGTGGCTTGCCAACACTCCGGTGAGTTAAATCGTTCTATCCTGGGAGGATATATTGCAGCGGGCACTTGAGGGGAATAATTTTCTTAAGGACACACTGTGTATTCAGTGGGCTCGATTTATTCCTATACTGTTTTTTCAGAATTTATTTCGTTAAACAAGTATTACTAACTTTCTGATTTGTTTATATATTTCAGAAAGTTTAATTATTCATTACAGCAATACAGATTTATAACAATCTTAAGGAAATTATTTTATTATATTCTGTATTTTATTTGTGGAGATTAAAACCTGTGTGGTTTTTTACTCCTTCTGAATTTTACTATTCTGATTTGAAGATATAAAAAACTTCATCAGAGTATTGAAATTCATAAAACGATTTGAAGAACATAAAAACTTCATCGTTTT